TACGGTCTTATATAATCTCAGAATTAGAAAGTTTCCTTTAAGTCATAAGATGCTTTTTCCTCTTTTTCTTCTTCTTCAAGTAACCTGAAGATGACGTAATGCACTACCAAATGAATACAAAAAGAATGCTTTCGCGCATCGAATGTTAATGAGCAGAAGTCGTACCACTTAAGTATCATTTTTACAAAAGGTAGTTTTCCCAGGTGGTCGGAAACTGCCCAATAAATATGGATTCTGATCTGCATGTTTATAAATACATTCAAAATAAGGTGTTGCTTTAAAAAAATGTTTACCGAAATAGCGTTTTTTAGAAATACTTTCGAATGTAGCTGGCCGTTCAGGCCATACTCAAATATGGGTATCCACTGCCGAGCAAAATGAACGCCCAAAACAACCTTTCAAAGCATTAGGTCTAAGATTAATCAAAACACTTTCTATAACAACGTATTTCTTTATCGAACGCTTTACTTAGGTCGTGCGACTCGAATATGCGCGTAGTTTACCTTCTTCGAAGTTCACGTCAAGGTAAAATGGGGATGTTGGAATAATTTTTTGACTTCCTTGACAAAAAGGAATAAAATCTCTGCTAAAAATGAAAGATCTCATGTTTCCCCTTATACTGGAATGATTTTCGCTATACTTATTTACTTTTAGGCCCCGTTTTATGCTTGCAAATGCATAACACAGATTTGGGGTCAAATGATAATCGTCTGCCCGCTTCGTTTCAAGTTTCCGCTCGTTCAAAGGCCCACATCCTACACATGACACTAGGCTGCACGATAATTCATAATAAACTCTACGTAAGTAATATTTTTCGCATCGAAAATCCATTTGAGAATTTCGGTGGACATTTCATGAGATAGGAACTAGTTGTGGCCCGTGCTACGAAAGTAACTTCGGACGTGACTGCGCGCTCATCTGGAGAGTCGGTTGCCTATAAGTCAAATCGATGGTCTGGAAATTGAGAATGTTGTTCGTCATCCAATAAGACTACACGCTGCCATTGCCCTCTGGACAGGAAGTTCAAGCCATAGATCGGACGGGGCTGGGGATATCACTCGTTCGTCCGCAAGTAACTGAACTGGCAGTGGTGATAAATATACAAGTCAAAATAAGCAAGCATCTTTAAATGTTAACTTTATACATTTTTTGCAGAAAAGACAAGGTAAAAAGTGTAATCAGGTAGTATCCATCTGAGTGTTGTGGGGGGCTACGACAGTCTGAGAACTCGCCACTTCGTTGCTTTGTGCAAGCAGACCGGTCGTAGAAGTGTCCTCTTGAAAGGAAGGAAAACAACAAAGCTTTAGGGCACGAACAATAGAAAGTTATCAGACGAAAGGATAAGCTTAGAGGCCAACACAAAGCTCACAAGCCAAATTAGGAGCAAATCGGCTAAATACAAGTTCAAAAAACGTGATCACGGAAAATAATGGCATAGTAGCTAACAAGAAAATCGCCCAGGCCAAAAAAGATCCGTCTAGAACCAATTGAAGTCCATGCCTTGGATGAGAACTCTGCCAGTCAACGTGTCGATCTGACACCGGCATTTAGGTCTGCGTCACTGGAAAATACCCCCTAATACAGCTGCCCATTATGTGGTTTTTTTTTTGTTTCTGAAGACGCACTTTTGCACGAGTTAGAAAGCTCGTGAAAAAATTTAAAAAATTGTTTCGGTACATCATCAGTCTTCTTCGTCCTTCCTAACTTACACCTGGAACCCGCACATTCGCCTCTATTAGAGAAGAATGTATGCGTTTAGCGAAGTGAACTTTTCTAACGAAAAAGACGTTCAGGCTAGAAGGGACCGGCAACTGGAGCTTCGGAGGAAACCTATTGATTTCATAGACAGGAGATGGCGTACTGCTGAAGGTAGTAAAGGAACCGCTGCAAAAAGAGTAGGTATTTTGGCACAAATACCACTAATTGTGGACAAAGATATTTTGTCTAGGAAATCAAGTTTGGCCATGTAACAAAGCTATTTTAAAGACACCGAATTAAAGAGTAGTAATGACTTTTTAAGTCTTCCGGTCCGCTTTCAAGTAGAGAAAACACATTCTAGTAACTTCAAGCGCTATACGGATTACTCAAGGAATATTTCATGCAGAATATACAGAAAGGTATCTGCAAACGATCAAAAATACCTCTGCTAATTGTTAAGTGCTTTTCAAGCTCTTCTGAACTAATTTGAACTAGTGGACGTGTAAGAACGGCTCCTCTAATGTTTGTGACAACACCTTACCAAATCATTTATACCTGATATAGCTTTGATCATTCCTGATATAATCGGCTTCGATGACATCACGCATTATACCTCCCTACGCGTAACGAACCAAGGCAATTAATATGGACAACCCTATTCATACTCTTCTCTGACGACAATGACCGAATACAGACGGTCCGAGAGCCACTTTTAGGACCTGAAGGACTGC